CAAAAAAATCTTGTATTGCGATCTAGTTGCGGAATATCATACTTCAACCTAGCCATCCCCAAAAAATCTCAACCAATCTACGAAAGGAACCAAGCTCTAACACTACTTGTTGGGCGCGAAAGCTCCAATAACACACATTAATTTGGATTATAAAGAACGAGATTTAATGACAATATTGAAGTATACTAGATCATACCACGAAAACACAAGATTGAATTTGTAAAGAAAGAACACAAAGGGAAACACAGAGTAACGGTATTTATTAATTCAACAATATTGTAATACCTTAATTTAGAAAAAAAAATTGAAAAGTCAAATATGTCATACTATTATATAAAAAAATAAAAAAAAATGATTGAGGCGGTGGAGGATTGGATTGATATCAACCCAATCCAAATCCTTTACAAAACAAATACAAATCCATTACCACATTAAAACATATACATACAGTGAAAAACAAAAACGTGCAGGGAGAGAGAAAGAGAAAAAGAGAAACAGAGAGAAAAGAGAAAAGAGAAAGGAAAAAGAAGGGAAAAAAGAGGAGAAGAGGGAGAAAAAAATATGAAAGTTCGCCTATGTTGTTAGAAAATAAATGATCTACATTATTAGACTTGAATTCCTCAATTTTGAAAGGTAAGTAAAAAGTTACTTATTGTCAAGTTATATTTGATTACATAGTTGTTAGATTGTTAGATTAAATTCAATTTTATTGAAGGGGTTAAGTATAATAAAATATGAAATTTAGTAAGATGAAAGAAAAACTAGTTTTGGTGATTAAAGAGATTGTAGAAATTGTTCAAACGTGAAATAATTAAGTTTGGGTATCGCCTATTTAATTATTGAAATTATTTAAAATAATTAATTGTTTATTTAAAAATTATATCGTCTTTTAGGCGACGATACTGATATCAGAACAGCTTACCAATCGGGTTGATTTTGCGAACATAGTACTGTGAGTGGAAAAATATAAATATTTTAAAAGTATTTATAAATTAACTATATTGTTAAAGTATGTGCAATTATATGCAATTATGTGTTCGAATTACATGATTTTTATGGAAATATCTTTTATTATGATACATGTGGGATTTCAAAGATTGTATACGTTACATTGTGAATTAGAATATGAGATATGATTTTGAGATCGACCAAAAAAGTACTCGTGATTATATGTTTCTTCTAGTTCACTGAGGGCCTTGGTCGTGTTCTATACTACACTGAGGGGTCATGGACCAGGGATGAAGGGGTCTCGACCGTGTACATATAGTTCACTGAGTGGTCTTGGCCGTGTTCTAGAATTGATTTTGAGAGGTCTTTGAGACTGACTTTCGTTCACGGAGGGGCCAAAGGGCCGTGGTAAAAGTCCTTAGCCGAGAGGCGGATTATATATTTCAGTCAGAGGGTACATTTTTGGTGAATTTTTCAGCACGTTTAATGTGATATGATTATAGCATGATTATCAGTTGATGTTATATTATGATTTTGGGATGATATTTTACAACCTTATGTGAATATTTTACTTTTGGTTATAATTACATGATGTTATCTTATGAATTATGAAATGATATGAACTTCATTTTTGATGGAAATGTAAAATTGAAAAAGTATAATTATTTTTGAACTGCTCCACTTACCGAGTTATCAACTTATATATTTTCCCACGATTTTTTCTACAGGTGGAAATTGGTCATTTTTAGCTGGAAGAGCCTAATGATTTCTGAATAAGTGCGACACGATATGTTGAGTGTTATAATTCATATTGATGAAGTACGAAGTAAATGTTTTGGGCCCATTGCATTATGTTTTACATAAGCATTTGATTTTGTTGCATTTTTTGAAATAACTCATAGTCAGCCTTAGTGATAGATTTGACATATAGTCAGCATCTATCATTGGCGCACGTCATATTTCGGGTCCACTAGGGTGATTCGGGACGGGTCGTGTCAAGTATGGAGAATACAAGATAGACTAGTAATACTGCTTCTATGTTGCTCCCTACAAATTGAAGAGATAAGTCTCGTATTTGTAGGCCAACCCTAGAAGAGTCCTAAAAGACAATAAAATATATTACAATTAAGAAATCCAATTTCAATAGAATTTTGTTTCCTTAAATCCTAGGTCAATATTCTCCTAGTCCAAGTCGAATACACCTCTTCAAAAGACTCATATTTGAGTCATACTCCTAACATTAACTACAGCCTAGAAATGATGCTGATAAACAAACTAGATAGGGGACGATTATTTTAAAATCTTTTTGATTCTACTGTCATTTGAAATAATGTACAGCCGTTTAAAATTTTTTTATTAAAATAATTTTTTTTTCATTCTTTTTTCCTTCTTTTGTAAAATTGAATTTAAAAACACACATTTTTCTTTCCCTTGCACGTTTTTGCATAGTCGGAATACTTAACTAATCAATTCAATGGTGAACGATGACCAACTGCATTTTAATTTTGTATGGTTGAGCAGTTTGTGTTAGATTATTTGTTAATCACACAAGATTTTCTCTTAGCAGATTAAACAAAGTTTAACAGTCGTTAGGTAAAATTCTTTAATAAATAAGCCATTAATTGATTAGTTATAAATTGATTCCATGCAAGTCATCGTTTCCGTTTTGAGAAATCAATGTTTACATTTAATGCATGGTTAATTATCTACAATATATTAAGAGTGGGGATGGTGGAGAAACTTTTGAGTACCAAATTTACCCCTACATATTTAACTATATGCCCACTATATCCTCATAATTGGAATACCAATTTAATTAGTATTTTTCATTTAGTTCAGAATTAATATAATATAACGAGTGAAATATTTAATTGATATCTATCATTTTGGATTGGAATTCATATAAGGAGTGAAACTAACATTCAATTATATATTAAAAAAAAAAAAAAAACAACAAAAGCAGTGCCTTGCTACTCAATTGACCATTTTGTTCTTACAATTTTTATTTTCCACCAACAAATCAATTTTTATTTTGTAACAACAAACCCTTATTAATCTTCATAATTTACATTATTATTCACGCAATGACCTTTTATATTTCATCAACAGAGCAACTTTTAATCTTCATGTAATTTATCCATTAAGTTATTGTTTAATTGAGATTACAAATATTTTGAAGGTTACATTAATATATTAATGAGGAGGACATTCAATGAATAAAAGATAAATTACACATGGAAATTCAATGACTAACATTCAATTGATTTTTTTTTCTTTACAACTTTTAATATTCATCAACAAAGCCCTTATTACTGATTTAATTAATATTTATCATTAGATTTAGAATTAATATAAGTGGTGAAGTATTTATCATTAGATTTACAAATATTTTGAAGGTTACATTAATATATTAATTAGGACATTCAATGAATAAAAGATAAATTACACATGGAAATTCAATGACTAACATTCAATTGATTTTTTTTTTCTTTACAACTTTTAATATTCATCAATAAAGCCCTTATTACCAATTTAATTAATATTTATCATTAGATTTAGAATTAATATAAGTGGTGAAGTATTTAATTGATATTTATTATTTGGGTTGGAATTAATATAAGGAGTGAAACTGCCATTCAATTATTAAAAAAAAATCAACAAAAATTTAGTGACTTATCATTTAATTTAGTATTTTGTTCTTACAATTTTTATTTTCCATCAACAAAGCAATTTTTTAATTTTCATCAACAAAACCCTTATTAATCTTCATGATTTACATTACTATTCATCCATTAAGTTTTTATTTTTCATTGACAAAGTAATTTTTATTTGTCATCAACAAAGCCCTTATTAATCTTCATGATTTACATTATAATCCATCCATTAGGTTATTATTTAATTGAGGTACATTATAATCCATCCATTAGCCCTCAATTTAATTTGCTCATCACTAACTCCTGTAGGTTTCATACTTGTACAGACCACATGAAACTCCTTTAGATGTTTGTGGAGATCTTCACTGGCAAAGGCCATGAAAAGTGGGCAAGAGATGAATTAGTCCATATTTAAGTTCAAAAGTAATGGCAACATCTAAAGTAAGAAAAGTAATGCATAAAGGTTGATGAATCAAATCTGGGGCTGCAAGCTCCTTCAATGTCCTATTTCTATCCATGACCTTTTTTTCTATCGAATTCACTTGCAAATAGGATGTTCGGGTTGAGATCATTTTCCCCAAGATTCCACCGAGTGTCACTCCGTAACCTACGCAAGTTCTATCAATTTTCGGATCGTTTGATTAGAAGATCTAGTTATAGTCATGAACATAGAAAAAACACAAAAATAAACTAATTCACTCCTCGGCAACGGCGCCAAAATTTGGCATGCTGTTGCAGGCACCAAAAAATAATAAAACCTACACTTCCAAAAAATATTTATAGTAGTGGAAGTGAGGATCGTTCCCACGAAGAGTGATTAGTCTAATTTTATACAATGTTAACAATAACGGCGGTTTTGTTTGTGATGAAATCAATTCTAACTAAAAGCAATGCGATTTAATAAATTGGATTAAATCAATAGAACGAACCTTGGTCTAAGTCAATATCTACCGTAGGAATTTCAATTGATCATGGAGCTATGAATGATTATCAATTCATATTTTTGCATTCATTGCTGAAATTTATTTTTCCTATTTCTCTATAATTAATCGGAAAACAAGAAATCCAATCAATCCTTATTATTAAATAACCCAAGAAAAGTACTTAAGATTTAATTTAATAATAGCATGGGAAATTAGAGAAATCGATGAAACTAAACAATATAATCACACGCAGTTATGTTTAATCTAGTAAATATCCTTCCTAGAATTTAATAACCTCTAAAACAGTGATTAATCAAAACCTAGTTACTTCTTAATGTCAAAGATATCAAACAATTACGTATTTGTTCTTTAAACAAGCAATAGATTGTGATACATGAATATCTAATAGGCCTCTTAGAATTCAAATATAACAACCATGAAATCATGCATAGAAGAATATTCAATACATAAGATATGAATGAAAAAATGAAATTTATTTAGATCTCACAGTTTGAATTGTTCCTAGGCTTCAATATCCTTCGACCAAGAGATGAAGTTTAGTTATACATCAATAATCCTTAAGCAAAAAAAGAGAAAAGTTTATGGTCCGTTCTTCGCCTCCAAATATATGTAGAACATAAGATTTTTAGGTGAAAAAGGAGGTTTTCCTCATTTTGGCATCTTTAGGTATATATATGATGTCAAAAAATATTGTTTCCATGTAAAATTTCATAAGACTAAGGAAACTGGCCCGTCACAGAAATTTTGGCCCGTGCTCGCGCGCCATATATTTCATTGCGCGTGCCACTTTGTTGTTTTGCTCTCGGTATGCAAGAATAAGGTCTCGTGGGCGCCACTTTAAGCCCCTGCGCACGCAGTATAAAATAATTTCAATTGTTACACTTTGATCCCTGAACTTTCATCTTCTCTTTTTTGGCTTTTTTTCCCCTTGTTTTCCTTCTTCCAACACTCTGAGTCTTCTATCAATTGACCTTCAAATCTTTCACTCATTCGTTTCGCCTTCCGGTTCAATTTTTGGATAATTATATTTTAGTCCTTCAACTTTTGATTTATTTCCCTTTAATCATTTTTTGCTCTTTTCTTCTAATTCATGCCATCATTATCCATTTGTTACCTAAATCACAATATAAGGGTACTCAGTACATTTAGGCGTTAATTAATCACAAAAGCATAAGGTAGAGGAATGAAAAATATGACACTTTACAATCCTATCAATATATGTCTAAAACATGCACTATCAAGCTACCACATGGAGTTATTTTGAACTTTAAGTGCAACATGGGTAACATAGAAGTTCAGTTTTTCATTACATCTAGGGAGATCACTTTTTTAACCCAAACTTTCTTAAAAGCGGAGGTAATCCTAGTCAATCGTGTCATCATCTCAATTAAGTGACTAACATGATTTGCAAGGAAGTTAACCTAGCTAGAGATATCTTGAATTTTCATCATATTCAAAAGTTTATGACACCTAGGCCTTGTGTGTCCCAGAACGCCACAATTGTGACAAGTAGAAATAAACATAGGTTTAAAACTATGCGATTGCTGATGTTGGTTTCTAGGTAGGGTGTTCCTGCATGATCTAGTAAGACTCTATCCTAAGACTCCTTTGCCCTTGGGTTTATAATTAGCAACATTACTTGGCTCTTTGGTAGTTGGGACAAAGGTAGTCTTGGATGTACTAGCAGTATTGTTATCAATCTAAACATATCCTAGACCTTGCTTGTTTCCAAATGGCTTATTCATCCTTAACAGATTATCATGTTTTCGAATCCTACTTAAGAAGGAATGGAGTTGTATATTGATGTTTTCTAGATCACTTGTTAATGTCTTAACCTTAGTTTCTAACTTCTCATTAAAAACTCTCAATTTTCTAAAGTTTTTGGAAGAGTCCTGAAGATTATCTATGAGTCTCTCTTTCCCCCTCTCAAGTTCATTAACATTCTTCAATATAGCTTTATTGACCTTTTTAATCTTAAGATTCTCCTTAAACAACTGTTAATAAGCCTCATGAATATCTATCTTATCCTCAAAGTCTTCCTCAGAGTTCTCGCTGCTCTCCTCTTTCTCAGCCTTCTCACTTTCTTCATCCGATTCATACTTAACTATAAACTTGAATGCCATATAGTTCCTTTCATCCTTACTGATAGATGAATCACTTTGATCACTAGAATTGGTTTCATCATTACTTAGTGACAAAGCCAATGCCTTACCCTTTCCTTTATTTAGGTTCTTATAGCTAGGACATTTATTCCTATAGTAAACAAAACCCTGACATTCGTGACATCTAACCAATTGAGTTTTCTTACTAAAATTCCTTGAATTAGTCTTCTCACGCTTGCCTTTCTGAAATTTACTAGGAACACCCTTCTCCTTTCTTGAGGTTTTCTCTTATTTCTAAGGACTTTCTGAAACTTCTTAATAAAGTAGGCCATATCCTCTTCCCTAAAGGTCTCTATATCAGTTAATTCGTCCTTTTCTTCCTTAGTGATATTAAAGGCAATCGACTTATTTTTCTTCGGCTGAGATATGGTGAGTTCGTGGGCTTGAAGAAATCATCCAAGTTCATGTATATTGACTTTGCCTAAGTCCATGCTCTCTTCAATTGTAGTGATCTTGGGTCTAAATCTTTCAAGTAACGACTTGAGGACCATTCACATAATTTTAGACTCAAGGATTTTCTCACCTAGGTTAAAGCTAGAGTTCATTATATCATTTAACTTTGCATAGAATTCAATGAAAGATTTTTCATCCTTCATTCTAATCCCTTCAAACCTAGAGGTCAACATCTACAGTTTGGAGTTTTTAACAGTTTTGGTTTCTTCGTGTATGGTCTCTAGAATATCCTAAACCTCTTCTACAGTTTCACATATAGACACTCTCATAACTCTTCAGCAAACATTGTCATAAATAGGGCATGAAGCCCCTTACTATTCCAATTATACTCAGCAAGCTCATCCTTAGTCCGAAGGAAAATGTCCGTAGAGGTAACTACATCTGACATTGTAGTAGATGGGACGGTCCAACCATTTTGTACACTAACCAAAATTCATTCATCTAGAGACTTAAGCAAGGCTCTCATTCTAACCATCTTGTATGTATAGTAACTATTATCTGTATCTGTATTGTGCAATAGGGGAGGAGAGGGTGTTGCATAACCTAATAGTCCTTCAAAGTACGTTTCTATAGTAAATAAGGCTTCTATATATGTCAATAAGAACTCTGACTTTCTAAGCTTCTGTAGAACTCCTATTTGAAAGTCATATTTATTTCCGTTCTTAGTCCCATACCATATATTTCTGTTTCTTTTACATTACAGACGTGAACTTTCTGGTGCATAATGCTACCTATTAATTTATTCAAATATTCATTGTTAGCCTTTGACTGATTAAATTTATTAATTTAATTCAATAAATTTCATTACTGTATTGATATAAAAAAAATCTAATACTGTGACAAAAGCATTGCCTATGTCCCTTTTCATCAATTAAAGAATCAATTCTATATCATTAAAAATGGAAACTTCCTAAAATTTTAATTTTTAGTACCTTCCGAAGTATAACATTCTGATTATATAAGCACTGACAAGTCCAGCCTGCAGCAGAAATTAAAATGCCATATCAGAGAGAAAAGACCACATGCACATGCTTTCGTATGAGATATCCTGGGAGACGCTTACCAAAACGCCAAGTAGCGTGCTTGCAAGAAATAAGTACAAAAAGCTTCCAATAAAGTGTAAAGAAATTGTAGGATCAATAGTTGTCATATCAGAGCTTTGAATGGCATTGAAAAGCACCACTGAAGTAGCATCATTCACTACACCTTCTCCAAATACCAAACTGTAAAGTAGGGGCGTCTCATCTTGACTTAGCACCTTATAGCATTAAAACAATTGTCATTTCAGAATGTGTGGTGTTCTCATAACATTGGAGTAAGCTTTAACATATTTTACCTGCAATGTGCAAACAGAATCTGTTGCAGCAAATATTGCACAAATTGCTGACATGATGGAGAAGTAAGGGAAACCCAAAAAAATATGTGAAGCAATCAGAAGTTGCAAGGTCATACCTAGATAATCACTAATATCCAGAAAGCCGATTCCCAGGTTCCTAAAGAATAACACGACACGTGAATCATACACAAGAGGATAAATAATAGAATCAGAATGCATTTTCCATCAACACTAGGGATGGATCCAGGATTGGATCCACGATCGGGCTACAAAATTTCAGACCGGGCTACTACGTGGAAAAAAAATTTTTACACATAAAAAACTGATTTTTTACCCAAAAAAAATAAAAAATAGCTTTAAAAAAAAACTCTTGGACCTGGGGGGGGAGGGCTACAGCCCAGCCCCCCCTGTATCCGTCTCTGATTCAACACTAGATAATCCATAAAGGACTTAATCATCTCTCCTCTTTAGAAAGAAACTTAGGGCATGGCAGATGCCACCTCAATTTTTTCAAGTTGTAAGTTATGATTTATTTACATTAATCTGTAGGGTCACCCCTGATAATAGGAACTTCTTGTTTCTGATCAACATAAAAATATTAACTGTTCAATTCCTTCCAAAAAATTTAACATTTATGTCAGGTCAGGATGAGTTGAAGTACAAAGCAAAAAATCCAGATGTTTCATCCAATATAGGAACAAATCTCTTACAAGTGGTAGTTATGCCAAAGACACTCACAACGATATGCAATTTATGAAAATGACATATTTCTATATTCTATATGTATATTTCAAGAGCTTAACATGAATGCTATCCACGTCAAGAACTTACAAAAGGCTTTGGTATGAGAGTATATACAACTAAAAGCAATATCTAACTTAGAAGAACAAATGCAATCTGAAGCATTAAAATTTTAATAAGATAACTGAGTATCAAATGGAACTACAGGTAAAAAAATTGAATGTTACAAAGAAACCGTTTTAATATTCTCTGACCAGAAAAATTGCTAGAGCAGAACCAAATCATAAACGACAAATGTGAAATCTTGATAGACACAGAATTTTGTAGGGGGTAAAAACAACATGGACAATGTAAAATAAAATAAAATAAAATAAAAATTTACCGGTTGATATGACAGCACATGAAATTAGTGTACCAACAGCTCCAAACAACATTATAGTGATGAAGTTACGGAAAAATTGTTTCTTCTTAACCTGGAACCTGGCAATGGAAGTAATAAAATTTTAAGCTCCTGAACAGATAATTTACTGGAAAAGTACGCAGGTTCTCTAACATCAGGCCCCCAACAAAAAATCATATTATAATACTGACGAAAACTTTCTTAGCAATCGATTTAGTAGATTCTCAAGATGTTAAAATTGATTGTGAATCGGGAAAAGAAACTAGAAGGAACTAAACTCAGTTTTTAGAGCTCAAACTCTTAACCTGTTCAACATCTATTTCACCACCGTTACTAGAGCTTGCATAGCATTAAAATTCAAATAAAGGATCAAACCTTTTGAACTTATGCACTTAGCCTCATTTTACATGTCCTTCAATGGAATAGTTCAAATTGAACATTTTATAAGTGTGCTTCAAATTGAATAATTGAATCTCCATGGACAAAAGCATTTCTTATAATGATTCAATCAAACAAGAAGCATTGTAATTGCTCCAGATAGACATGTAACAACGCACATACACTCACTAGTAAAGTACCTTTTGGACAAGAAAACTATATAAAAGCATTCACCTTACCCAGCATTAAATATGATCGGAGGGAGAAGATATATGAAGAACAGATCCTCGCTGAAGACCAGGAGATGTGAGCTCTTGCCCCTACTAATCAACAATATAACCACTCCAGTACATAAACCCTGCTAGAATCCAAATTGAAAGTACATTCTGGTACCACAAACAAAGAATAGACGCAATTCGACATATGACAAAAAATTCATAGTAAGATAATAATTAGAATACAAATCCGTGTATCAGTACTTCAAGAAACCAAAAGATAAACAACATGATGATGTAACATATAAATTCTTCACCATATGTACTCAGGAAAAAATGAGAGTAAAAACTAACAATGATAAGGGCTGTAATTGATTCATTCATCCAACGATTCTCCTCCAGCAGATGGCCAATGACAATGCAGCCGCAGAGGAGGGCCACGAAGAGGTTCATTGACACAACGGATGCATGATCAGAAGTGGACAACATGTAAAGTTTTTGCATCCAAGCACCCAATTCAGAAACCGTATCCATTTTGAGCGTAATTGAACCAAATTAATTAAAATTTTATCATATTTCCAGAAAGAGATAAACCAGCTTCAAGTCTTGATACTGTCTGCTTCGAAATTTATTCTTAAAACACTGCATGAAATTAAGCTTGATCGTTTGGAATACATTGAGATAAGAGCCACCACAATTTTTTTATTTTATAAAATTTGCAGAAGGTTCAGACACTTAAAAATGTTTAAAAAACATTGACAAAAAGTTCCTTGTACATAAATAATAAAAATTAAACAAGAAAATAAGAAGCAAGGTCGTTTATAAGGAATTTTTTACTAAAGCACGATCATTTCTTTTTAGGTAGAGAAAATAGAAAAAATAGTGTGAAAATTGATTCAATCTCGCTATTGAAATCCCAAGAAACAAAAACTGGGTATGACTCTCTCCTGATCACCCGTGATCGCAGCGATGATTTCAAAAGAAAAAAAATCAGAAAAAGTAGGATAAAGCGGTTGTTGAGGTGAAATTTCTGGAGAGTCACGGAAATTCCCGTAAAATTGTGATCCTCTACTCATATTTCCATTCATATGATGATGAAATCGGGCCATTGAATGGCGTGAAAAGTGGGAGGAATCAAAGGAAAGAAAAGTAAATTGAGGTTTCGCCATTTTTTGTTCCATGGTCCCTCTGATTTCAAATTGCTTGGCTCGCCTTTAAAATATTTTCTTACATTTTCAATTTCAATTATGCTACTTGTACATAAAATGGTATATAAATGATTACATGAAATGATATGATGGAAAAGAATTGGATGAAAAGTTGATCCTATTTTAAACTGACAAATGATATAATGGCATGTGACAATATGTAATTCATTATGTAAAGTTTGATATACATACGAATCTTTAATTTATGTTAAAACTCTACTTTATGGTATTTTTTAGTAGTGTTAGACTTTAATTCCGTTTCTCTTACTAAGATTTTATGGGTTCCCTATAAATAGAACTCATTATTTATATTGTAAACAACTTTATTCATACATTAATTTGAAAGATTACTTTGTAAGGAGTTTGCTTTTCATGATTTGTTCTTCATTGAACTAATTTTGAAGTTATCAAGATTTGTTTCTTGTACCGTTCAAATAATTCGAGCGAGATTCTTTAGTCTTGTGATTGTGGGATCAACATATTGTCGGTGATTGTATTAGTTCTTTGGTTCGCTTAGGGACCTCGATTGCTAGGTGTGCACTTATTGTAAATGAGTTTCTGGTTATGTATATCCTTATTAATTATTTTGCTTTTGTGAGGTTTGGTTGGTCGGTTGCATTTGTCTGGTGCATGGCTTTTGTTTTTGGCTTAGTATTTTAGGATCTGTTTGTTTCACGTACGCTTTATATTGTTATGTTTGTTGGCCCGTGTGAGGAGAGGCTGTCTTGGGTGCGGACCTCAAGACCTTGCAAATGATCCGTTACACGTGAAAAATCCAAACATATGCATAAATAAGTTTTAACAAAAAATTGGGGAATAATAAAAAGTTCGACTTTTTATCTTTTTATTTAAATTATTTCACAAAGACTTTTGAGATAACAGAAGAAGTGAGGATTGATCATACCAACGCAATTACCACAAAATATATAGTTTCCAAAATCAATATTGTAATTAAGCAATCCTTTTTTTTTTTTTGAATATCCATTAATTTTCAATCAACAAAGGGTAACTTTAGAGATGCATGCTACTCTTGGAAAAATTAAAATAAAATAATACGTTATAACAACTAATAAAATCTCATTTTATTTTTAAAGTTATTACATACTTGAGTTTACATTGAAGTAATAATAATCTCGTGCTTAAGGGGATGTTTGGGAGACATTTTTATGTAAAAATGTATTTTTGAATAGCAAATTGATGGAAAACGTGTGGTTGAAAAATAAGGAAAAGTTTTTTATTTATGTGTAATATTATTTTAATAAAAATGTGTGGTTAAAAAGAAGACAGAGAAAAATGCATTTTAAAAAAAATGAGTACCAAACGGGACCTAATATTATATTTTAGAATTGTATAACTAAGCCTAAATTTCACTTTTATGATTTTATTCAATTATGATTATGACTTGATTTGCATTCAATATAATGATACAAGTATGAGACAAATTACATTGACCATATTCCATTTTGGGGTTTGGGGCAGGGAGGTATTAATTGTTTAATATTTGACTTTATTGTGAAAATAAGAATCAATAGTCAACTATTGATAGAGAGCATCTCCAACCAGTATTAAAATGATTGTAAAATGCTAATCTGATGTGAAAGTGATGCTCCAAAATTAGACTTCAAAATTTCCCACCAAATTAGAGTAATGAATAATATTGTACCAAATTTGGTAAAACGGTGTTCATTTCGTGTAATTTATACAATTTTTATTATTTTTCTTTCTGCCATTTATTTTATATTTCATTGCAAAAAAGGTCATTTTCATCACTTTTTAATGTAAAATGACCTATATACCATCCTATTTAAATTAAAAAAAAGAAAAAAAGAAAAATTGAAGAACACATTGCAATTATACTCCCAAACTTTTAAAAAATCGTAAATGAGTCCAAATGAATTGTTTAAAATGGTAATTAGTACAAAACACCCATACCTCTCAATATTATTATGCAAAATGTCATTGCCTTTTATTTTCTAGAATGGGATGATTAGCACAAAACGTCCTTGCGTTTAGCATGTAGTGTGTAAAACGTTCATATGTTTCAAATTTTGCATTTTCACTTCGTATAACAGTACAAAACATCCATATGTTTTGCCTGTAGTATGCAAAACATCTATACGTTTCAAATTTTTGTATTTTCGCTCATATTTCCACGTTTTATAGTGAAAAATGTCATTTTTACCCGTTTTAATGTAAAATGACCAATGTACTCTTCTATATAAATAAAACAAAAAATAAAGAACAAATCCTTATTTGCATTTGCAAGTTGGGTTCATATTTGTGAGTAGCATCCATATTTGCACAAAACGTCCCTATATGCACCCACGAGTTAAGAAAAATAAAGAATCAATATACCCTCATATTTAATTTTTCTTTTCTGTTCTTTATTTTATTTAAATAGGAGAGAACATGTGTCAATTTTTTTTTATTGAAAAATTGGATGAAAATGACATTTTTTCCACAATGAAAGGTGAAAATATGGATGAAAATGACAAAAAAATGAAAGGTAAGAACGTTTTGTGCTAATTACCATATTTCAAAAAATAAAAGGTAGGGGCATTTTGAACAAAAATATTGAAAGATATGGACATTTTGTGCTAATTACCATTTTAATTATTCATTTGGACATATTTGCAATTTTTAAAAAAAGTTTGGGAGTATAATTGCAATTTGTTCTTTAATTTTTCTTTTCTTTTTTTGTTTTATTTAAATATGAGGGTATATTGGTCATTTTACATTAAAAATTGATAAAAATGACATTTTCCGCAATGAAACGTGAAAATAGAGGTGAAGATACAAAAATTTGAAACGTATAAACATTTTGCACACTAAATACCAAACATAGGGACATTTTGTGCTATTAAGCCAATTCAAAAAATAGAAATTTGATAATTACAAATGAAAAAGAAATTAGCACTACAACAATATAAGTATTATTGAAAACAGAAATTTAAAGTAAAATATAAAATAAACTAAGACAGTAATTTAGTATTCAAGTAGATCATTTTTGAATCCTTGAAGGTCATCGAAATATTGATCAAAAGAACAAGAGGAACTTTGAGATCTCTAACTTCATTGTTGAGTTATTTTTTGCATATTTCTTGTATGTTCATTTGAAAAAACTCACGTAAATTTGATCCATTATGAAATTTAAATCTTTTGGTAAAATTTTATTATTTTTCTCGATTTTCTATTTTCTCATTTATTTAAAATTGATTGCATTATTCACATTGTCATTGTTCAAGTACCCATATGATGAAATTTGTAATTGTATATTACCCTTCACTACATCTCAAACAAATAAAATATGGACATTAATATTTTGAAGGAAAAATACAGACATGAATAAATAACCCTTTTTAAATTCATGTAATTACCCTCCTTCGTTTTTTAATAAAAACTGCATTTATCTGAAGCATGTTTGGTGCACTATATTGGGTATGAATACTTTTTAATTTATACGAAGTTCGATATAAATAATATGCAGATCAATATATAATCCATTACACGATAACACAATAAGGATATCCATAATTATTAATTAATAATAATCGTAAACTATTCAAATGGTATTATGGGGTGTGGGGCCAAGCCCGAGGTTGTGTCTGGGCCGAGACCACCGCTGAAGGCAGGATTGGGAAAGCACGTTTACAATGTTCCATGCAGTTACATTGATTTAATTTCGGCGAAACTTTAAAACATTTACAATCTATGATTGTAGGATACCATTTCTTCCCTTCAACGAGGCATGGACTCGAAGCACACGGAGTGTATGTTTGAAAATATCTGGGGCAAAGATTGGAGCCACTTGATCCTGAACAAATATCGTACATTAAAAATAACAAAAATAAACACTGGATAAATGTAAAATTGGAAGAATGTAAATTTGGCTTTTACAAGAACTTAAAGAAATTTTTAAAAATATTACTTCATTAACTTTTAAGGATAAATTTACCTATGGATGGAGTAAAAAGGCGTGATAAGAGTGCCAAGCAGAGGAAATGAATTATCATGGTAGAGCTCTTCATGATCTTGAACTTGCTTTATTTGATGAATTATGAAAAAAAATATTTGCTTATTATCATTTATTATATAGGTTTTAATTATAGAGTAATGCTAATTAACTAGTTAGGGTTACAACTCTAATTTAGGTGGCACTAATAATATGGTATTAAATGATAGGTAGAATTAAATAAGTCATTTAATTTTACCTTTCATTCAACCTATCATTTAACGCCATTTAAACTTAGGGGTGTCAAACGGCCCAAGCGGCTCGTCGACGGCTTGGGCTTGTCAAATGATGAGCTCAAACACGAGTTGGCTCCAACGAGCAGAGCAAGCTCGGCTTGTCGAGCTCGAGAGGGGCTCGTGGGCCTTGTTCACGTCAAAAAAGTGAAGAAAAAGTTTGAAAATTTTCAAAAAAATATAAAATATATCCTTGAGCACAAGCCAAGCTCGTGTGTTTAATGCTCGGCTTGGCCCATTGCCTCCTCTATTTAAACTGAAGTTGTAACTCCTATTATACATTATTTGAAGGCTACCATATATTTGTGTATTTTTGATTGTCTTTATGGACATTACATATATCAAAATGTAATTCCATCGGTGTAAAGATTGCAAGTATCATAAACTCAGATTTTAATGAATTTTAAAAATTTATATAAATTCTGATTTTTCTTGTATCATTTATCTCTATTAGTGGGACTACATAGCATTATCCTTAATTATACATTATTTGAAGGCTATCATATATTTATATATTTTTGACCGTCTTTAATGACATTAAATATATCAAAATGTGATTTCCACCGGTGTAAAGATTGCAAATATTACAAGCCCCGTCTCGTGTAACACCATTGGACCTAGAACGTTGCGTGCGCCAATGATATATACCAACTAAAAATCGGACCTACCATCAAGGCTACTACAACTACAACTTTTTATAAATTATTTTTAATAAAATTTCGGCATTATCTTCCTTGTAAACCGAACTAACCAATGTACAATCCGCTATACACAAATCTCAAATATAACACAACACAATAGAGCTAGACCGAAATCTTAACTTTTCCCCAAGATAATAACATGAAATGTACATATAGATACAAAATATATAGCTAGCCCCATAACTATTTACAAGTGATGCAAAATCACATCTAAACATGAAAATGCATTCCAAAACACTGACGACATGCTCTATGAATTGAGTCATGCTAGAAAATTTTGTCGTGTGACTCTGATTCCAAAATCAAGGCTCAACTCCAAAAGATGTCCAGATACTTAGCTCTGCCTGATAAGAAAAATAGTGATAAAATATATGAGTTGATAGCTTAGTGAGTGGAGAAGTCGAAAGTAAATATACTTCTTCATTTATGCATTTTTATCGAAATCAAGTTTACATAAATTAACGGTTCACAACTTGCATATAGTAATGATAATCAAGATGGGAGACATCCTCATAATGCTGAAATATATAATCTCATAGTCATGATATAATCCTCAACTCAAATTCATACTATCGTCTCATCACTCCACATGTAATCCATCAAAAATGTACTCTCTGACTGCCCTCCGTGAATGAAAGCCAATCACAAAATCTCTGGTAATCAATTCTAGAATACGGCCAAGGCCCCTTTGTGAACTATATGTACATGGTGAAGACCAATATCTGGTCTAGACCCCCCATGTAGGATAGAACACGGCCTACCACTCTGTAAACTAGAAAAAACATATAATCATGCATATTTTTCTAGCCGATTTCAATATCACATATGTCTCACATACCAAGTCATAAATTTACCATAAGTAATCTTTAAAATTCCACATGTATCATAATAAAAGAGATTTATGTAATAATCATAAAATCCAACACATAATTGCACATGCTTGACTAATATACTTAATTTATAAATATTTTAAAAATATTTAAGTTTTTCCACCTACAAAACTATGTACGCAAAATCAACTCCTTTGGTAAGCTGTCCTGATGTCCCTATCGCCGCCTGAAATGTGATATAATTTTTAGATGTACAATTAACTAGTTCAAGTAATTTCAATAATTAAATAGGTGATACTAAATTCTAATCTTTTTATACTTACACAATTTTCCCAATTTCTTTAATCATTTAAGCTATCTTTTCCTTTCCTTTAATTAAATTTCGTAGCTTATTACACTTAATTCAATAATTCATTTTTAATAAAATTGAAGGTAAACTAATAGTCTAACAAATATAAAATTAATCATAACATTCCAATGAATAAATTTTTACTTACCTTTGAATTTGAAAAATTCAAGCCTAATAGTCGAAGAACTTATTTTCCAACCCGTTGGCGAAATTTTTCTATTTTTTTTTCTTTATTCTTCCTCCTCTTTTTTCCCCTTCTTTTTCCTTTCCCTTTTCTCTTCCTTTTTCTCCCTGCTCTCGTTTCACTCTCTGTGTTTTGTGAGTTTTTTGAGTGTAATGGATTTAGATTGTATGTGTATATATATATTTAGAAATGGATTGGAATGAATTGATTAACCGCCTCACTTTCTTACCTTTTATTTTATTTTTTTGTTTGATTTTTTCCATAGCTTGATTTCTTTGACCACCCATTTTTTTTCCTCTCTTTTTACTTGTTTTAAATTAAGACATCACAAAATATCATAAACTCAGATTTTAATGAATTTTAAAATTTTATATAAATTCAGATTTTCCTTGTATCATTTATTTCTATTAGATGAAGATTTTATTCCAAAATTTTCTGCATAGTTCGTTATGATTTACATTGCATTCATGAACTCCAACAAGGATGCTAACCAATTCTTCTATAATTCTAATACTCTTGCGTTGTTCCGAATTAAGAGAATGTCGGTACTATCAAATCAACAATCATCGAGTCTCATGATGATTTGGAAGAAGCAATCTCTACAGAGAGATAAAAAAACAAGGCAAAAGCTCGTTAGCCTACTTTTGAATGTTGAAAAAACTTCATGAGAAGACAATTAAAAATGGAAAGCAAATTATGAATGTATATTGTAATTAATGTGGAAATAACTTCACTTGAAAACTAAAAATTGATGCTACCCAGTATAAGAGGCATTACAAAAAGTGCCTTGTTTGTATTGGGGATGTCAATAGTAGGCATATTCAATTTCAATTTGGTTCAGGCAAAGAGGAACATTATGGAGTAGTTGCAAAATGAGTTTATAATCCAGAAACAACTCAAGAATTTTGTAATTAGATTGCTGCTATTCACAATAAAATACGTGCACTTGGCAAAATTCATAGAAAAACGTCTTCAATTGATGTATAAAGCTAATAGTAGATGTACACTTTATAACGATACTATAAATTTGTATAGTATTAGAAAAGCACAAATTATAGTCAATTTAAGAAATTATAGTGTCATTTCATTTACGTCTGATTGTGGTCCAGGATATATAGTGTCGTGACCAATTATATTGATAAGTTTTGAATCATGCATAAAAAAATCATTGCATTTTTAGTTCATTGGTTTTCACATAATGTATATGTTGAGCAAATTGTTATCAAATGGCCTCCCAAACTATGACATTAAATCGATATAATTTCTCAGTCGACATCAACCAAATGATTGAACTAAAATATCGACACCTCAATGAAACAACCAGACTCTAAAACTATTTGGAGCCATTGAAAGTAGCCTAATTTAATTAGAGTTTCTCATGGCCCATCTCCTCCACTTGTTGGATCATTTATAAGTATTGGCCAATTTATTGACTTACTTGATCCGTCTACTCATTTTGGCTTGGCCCATAACCATACCTAATATTAACCTGTATATTTGAGCCCCCTTTTGCTTGGTTGCTTATGGTGTCTTTGCTCCTTTCATTAGCGAGAAAAATGGTAGCCTCTCCTCTGTGATTTGTGCCTACCATCTTCCTTGCCTTTGTAGCTGCAATTACACCTCCATTCGTGTATCCTAAGTGGGTATAACCAAAGCAATCAAAGTGAGGGTTGGTCGTTGTAGGATTTGGGTTGAGATTAGAGAGAGTCAATTTCAGTTGGATTGAAACTTAGCCTGAAAAACATCTATGCGATCAATATTCAGCTTCAGCATAAAATATTTTCAATATTTTAATGGGCATTTAACAAGCAACCTTCAACAAGGTTAAAGGCGAATTTTGCAAGAGCATTTCCACACAAGCATGGAAAAAATTCAAAATGGAAAATGATATATAAAGCATCAAGATGCCTAGATACATCTCTATTGAATTAAAATAAATTAAAAATTGACAGTACATAATTAATAGTAATTTTTAAATAAGTTGAAGCTATTCTTCAAAAGTCCAACTCTAGGCTGTCAAGTTCAATCCACAGTAGAAGGAAATATGGCTTGCTGATACCATGCTGATTAGATTGCTAATATATTCTGAATTCGGTTTTTTTATACTTTGTTCCAGGTTTTTATGTAAAAGTCAATTACTAAGCTTTTAAAATAGGTGGCATTTTTTTCAAAATTGTAACTTCTCTACATGAAAAGGCATCCCAAAAATTACTATATTAATGACCAAAAATATATCTTGAAGAGGGCCATTGATATTACACATTTGATCTTCCCAAGGCTTTCGTGCTTTGTAGTAGAATTGTTCTTTAACAGCATTTTCAGTTTTCTCATTCCCACCTAATATTTGTGTCTTAGAATTTGTCAATTACTTGTGGTTTCAATCTTTCTATCATCAACTTCTTGAATTAACTGAAATAGTGACATAGCAGCAGCATAGAAATGATGCTGATAAACAAACCAACAGATGGGGGCGATTATTTTAAAATCTTTTTGATTCAACTGTCATTTTAAAATAGTGTAAAAATCTTTTAAATTTTTTTATTAAATTAAAAAATTTTCATTTTTTTTTTTCCCTTTTCCTTCGTAAAATTTAATTTAAAAACACACTTTTTTCCCCTTGCCCGTTTTTGCATAGTTGTAATACTTGAATGATCAATTCAATGGCGAACGATGACCAACTGTGTTTTAATTTTGTACAGTTGGGCAGTTTGTGTTAGATTATTTGTTAATCACATAAGATTTTCTCTTAGTAGATTAAACAAAGTCTAACAAAGTCATTAGCCAAAAATCTTTAATAAATAAGCCATTAATTGATAGTTGTAAATTAATTCCATGTGAATTTATATAGAATATGCTTCAGGAGGACATAGGTTACATTACATGGAAAATACTATATTCCTTAGAAATCTTTGTGATCAAGAAACCATACAAGAGAAACATATCTCAACACTTATTTAGTTATTCATTTTTATTCTTCATAACAAACGAGATATTTTTAAGATGGCAAACTAATTATAGATATTTCTTTTCTAGTCAATGTTCCATCAGAACTGTCCTTGAAGATATTTAATCACATTCGCGTCAACTTGGAAAGCCTTGGTTAGAACATCTATATTAATGGGTGGGTCGGATCCAAAAACTGCATTTGCAATTGTGATGACTCCTGGGTTTTGGCTGCTTAGACCAGCAAATACAACTGCATTAGTCTTTCCCACATTAAACTGGAAATGAATGAGACCTTCTGGAAACACAAAGACGTCTCCTGGATACAAAGTCTTGGTAAAGAGTTTGTTCTTTATGTTTGGATCTGCAGGGTTCGAAGTAACAAATCCAACATACAAAGTACCCTCCACAACAACAAGAACCTCAGTAGCCCGAGGGTGCGTGTGGGGTGGGTTGAGGCCATAGGGTGCATAGTCGATACGGACTAAAGAGATGCCAAGAGTGTTAAGTCCTGGTAATTGGTTGACATTCACTGGGGTGACCTTTGATCCAAGGGGATTTGATGTATTTCCAGGCACGTTCAATCCAGGAAAGAAGAAATCATTGGCACTAACCATATTTGGATCCTTGCAAATCTTTCCATTCACAAAAACTACAAGAAAAAAGAAGCCATTGCTAAGACATCTATATTTATAAGCCAACATAATTTAGTACATCGAATGTAGTGAAAATTGTCCTGAAAATTATGAAGAAACTGAATGCAATAACAATTTTTATCCCCTAATGCAAGATTGCTAGGAGATACAATATTAAAAGAAAAAAAATAAATTAGTTGATTATAATGATTAGTATTGATGTACTGCACACAAGATAAGGTTGTTATTTTAGGAATGCAAAATGAATTTACCTTTTGCTTCAGCATCCTTAACAGCAACACAGAAATCCTGTAGGGGGGCAGGATCAGAAGCATATGTAAATGAAGCCAATGAGATAATAAGAACGGAAATTAGTAAGTGAACAGCCATTTTTAGTACAACTGATATTTTGTTTTGGTTGTGGTTTGTGGATGTTTATTTCGGGAGAGAGGATTGCCTATTTATAGTGCAGCTTTCTATTTGAATTAGTCATTAACTAATCTTTTCAAACAAATGATCTTGCCAAGTCTTCAAAACATAATTAACTATATATTTTCCTTAGCAGATTGTTTCAAACAATTAACACTTTAAAATATTCTTTCTTATGGAAGTGTTCTCATTTGGTAATTAGTCGTTGATCAACTCGAAATTATGTAACCACTCCCAAAATTCAGTCGGTGTTTTCAAGTCATTTCAAAGTGGTTAATCTGTCATTCTCAGTACTTCTAGGAAATTTTTTTAGCAGACGAAATATAATGCAGATGCCGATGAGAAGCTTTAATTTACATAATTCCCAATGCACAATGCTCAAAATGAATTAAATTATGGAAATTATTGATAATTCATTAGTTGGCTGGCTACTGGAAGTTGTTCAACAATTCATTAGAATTAGTCTGTCAGCTTTTCTTTTGCTAGTGGATAAGGATAGTTTCCATTTTCCAAGTCTTTTATTGTGTAAGAATTTCATGAAGAAATCATCGTTCGTCCCCGTTAACACTGTCTATCCAGTTTTTCCGCATGGAAGTGGCCTTTTTATATATCTCAGTTGCTGCATACTTTAATCTGGCTTTATGATCAAGTATGACAAACTTTAATAAGTCTTTAACACGAGAAATGTTATAAACAGTTTGATAAATTAATCTCTGTAGTACATAATACATTACAGGTCTTCATTTATACTATCCTATTTTAATACATATCATGATGTTAAGTTGCAACAAATTCATATGTATTGCAAGCCAGAGATTATGAAGAATCCAGAATATGCTCTCTGTGTTCGAACCATGCTGTTAATCTATCATTCTCACTCTTGGAAAGTTCTGATTTGTTTACTATTAGTAAAGGATGTTTGTTGCAAGGGAATCCTACACATGCATGGAAAAGTCCAAAATGGCAAACGATATATTAAACATCATGATGCCTAGCTACATCTCCACTAAATTAATAAATTTCATTAAAAATTGACGGCACATAACTAATATTATGTTTTAAAGTAGTTGAAACGTTTCTTTAAAACTCCAACTCTGGGGTTTTAAGTTCAATCCACAGTAGAAGGAAATTCCGCATGCACGTTGGGAAAGACAATGGATCGAGATAATATATATAACATGACTTGAAATATATGATCGCAAACAAACAAAAAGATAAAACGCAAAGAATTAATTCACAGAAGAACGGGGTATTTTATTCAATAGATGAATATGGAGAAAACAAATACAATAACTATGTCTACAAAATTATTCTATATTTCAGTAACACAACTTGTGAAAAGAGTCTAGTATTTGTCATTCATCCAATCAAAGAGTTTTATCATTCATCCAAAACAAAGAATTTGAGTCGAGCTTATTAATGTAAGAAATACAAGGAAAATAAAAGAAAGTCATCACTTGGATCATTAAACTATGAAGAAATTCGAGAAATCTTCAATTAACGCCTTCAAATTTGGATCCAAGTGATGACTTCTTCGTTCTTCGATGTATATTCTCTTTTGTTTTCTCTCAAAATTCGGCTCTCAATGATAAAAATTACGTCTCCCACATTTTAGATGGCTTATGATATTTAGTCCTCAAACTTTATATTAGATTCGATCAAGCCCTTTTACCTTATTGACATGGTCCACGTATTGCGTTTTCAATTTGTTCAAGTTTTGGTAGACCATCAACAAGTTCGTTTTTAGCTAAATTGGACAAACTTTTATAGTTCATATGACTGAGTCTTTGATGCCAAAGGTCAATCACATCAATTTTAGCACTGTTACTTCATAGTTGGTATTTGGAAGAACTCCATAACAATCGTCAAACGTCCTTACCCCTTTGAGGACAATGTTATCAGTAGGGTAATAGACAGTACACTTTTTTGGACAAAACTAACTTCATAATCTGCATCACATATTTGACTAAACCTTTCACATAAAGCACATTTGATACAACAAGTAGTCCACATATATTAACGGTACCTTTACCAAGGATAAGTGTAGTAGCTCCATCTCCAAAAGTAATCATACCGCCATTCCAATCATCAAGAGTAGAGAACAGGGCTTTATTTCCACATATATGTCTAGAACATGCACTATCAAGATACCACTGGAGTTATTTTGAGCTTTAAGTGCAACATGGACAACATAGAAGTTCAGTTTTTCATCACATCTAGGGAGATTACTTTTTTAACCTAACCTTCTTAGAAATGGAGGTACAATCCTACTCAATCATGTCATCATCTCAATTAAGTGACTAACATGGTTTGCAAGGAAGTTAACTTGGTTAGAGATAACCTGACTTTTCATCATATTCAAAAGTTTATGACACCTAGGCCTTGTATGTCCCAGAACGCCACAATTGTGACAAGTAGGAATAAACATAGGTTCAAAACTATGCGATTGCTGATGTTGGTTTCTAGGTGGGTTGTTCCTACGTGATCTAGTAAGCCTCTATTCTAAGACTCTTTTGCCCTTGGGTTTATAATTAGCAACATTACTCGGTTTTTTGGTAGTTGGGACAAATGTAGTCTTGGATGTACTAGCAATATTGTTATCAATCTAAACATATCCTAGACCTTGCCTATTTCTAGATGGCTTATTCATCCTTCACAGATTATCAAGTTTTCGAATCCTACTTAAGAAGGAATGGAGTTGTATATCGAATTTTTCTAAATCACTTGTTAATGAGTCTCAACTCTCTAAAGTTTTTGGAAGAGTCCTGAAGATTATTTATGAGTCTCTCTTTCTCTCTCTCAAGTTCATTAACCTTCTTCAATGACCTTTTTAATCTTAAGACTCTCCTTAAACAACTGTTAATAGGCCTCATGAATATCTATCTTATCCTCAAAGTCTTCCTCAGAGTTCTCGCTGCTCTCCTCTTTCTCATCCTTCTCACTTTCTTTATCCAATTCATTCTTAACTATAAACGTGAATGCCATATAGTTCCTTTCATCCTTACTGATAGATGAATCACTTTGATAACTAGAATTGGTTTCATCATCAGTTAGCGACACAGCCAACGCCTTACCCTTTCCTTAATCTAGGTTCTTATAGTTAGGACATTTATTTCTATAGCGAACAAAATTGTGGCATTCATGACATCTAATTGATTGAGTTTTCTCACTAAAATTCCTTGAATTAGTCTTCTCATGCTTGTCTTTCTGAAATTTACTAGGAATACCCTTCTCCTCTCTTGAGGATTTTTCTTATTTCTAAGGACTTTCTGAAACTTCTTAACAAAGTAGGCCTTCTCTTCTTTCCTAAGGGTCTCTGCATTAGTTGATTCATCGTCTTCTTCCTTTGTGATATTAAAGGCAATCGACTTATTTTTCTTAGGCTGAGATATGGTGAGTTCGTAGGTTTGAAGGGATCTTACAAGTTCATGTATCTTGACTTCGCCTGAGTCCTTGCTCTCTTCAATTATAGTGATCTTGGGTCTAAATCTTTCAGGTAACAACCTAACGACCTTTCACATAATTTTAGACTCAGGGATTTTCTTACTTAGGTTGAAGCTAGAGTTCACTATATCATTTAACTTCGAATAGAATTCATTGAAAGATTTTTCATCCTTCCCTCTAATCCCTTCAAACCTAGAGTTCAACATCTGCAGTTTGGAGTTTTTAACAGTTTTGGTTTCTTCATGTGTAGTCTCTAGAATATCCTAAACCTCTTCTACAGTTTCACACATCGACACTCTCATAGCTCTTCAACAAACATAGCCATAAACAGGGCATGAAGCCCTTTACTATTCCAATTATACTTAGCAAGCTCATCCTTAGTCCGAAGGAAAATGCTATAGGGATAAATACACTTGACATAGTAGTAGATGGGATGGTCCAACCATTTTGTACACTAACCCAAATTCATTCATCTAGAGACTTAAGAAAGGCTCTCATTCTAACCTTCTTGTATGTATAGTAACTACCGTAAAAAAAATGGAGGTACTGAAAGTGACTGACTCATCTAGATTAAATTAGGGCAAGGAATCGAATTTTGGCTTTGATATCACTTGAAAATAATGAAGTTTTACCCAACTAACACCTAGAGTGAGGTAAATAGGTGTTTATGTGGAATTTAAATTTACCAATTAATAAATGCAACAAGTCACAATTATTAATTAATTCAAATAAATTCACATGCACACTATCCTAAGTTAAATTATCGTAGTTCAACAAATTGCAGAAAAGTAAATAACATATAAGAATTGTTGACGGAGAAAACCCTTCACGGGATTAAAAACTCTGGGCCCAAGCTAGTATCAATCTACTATAAACGAATCAACTTACAGTACTGTCAAACACAACTAACTCTAGCACTTTCTGACCTCCTGAACGTAATCACCAAAGCCCTCTTAGATTGCATGCTCCTGCACCAACTACCGACTTTCTAAATTCGAAACTCCGATCACCTTTCTTGATCTTCAACACTCTGACAGATTCTATTGAATTATGTGTTTTGGTGTCTGTTTTGGGTGGATTTGATGTTTTCCAAAACTACACCTCAAGCAAATATGGATTGAACAATGTATGTGAAGTGTAGAGAGTAATATCTAATGTATCTCAGTGTTCAATCTCAGTGTTTTACAAAGTGAGGGGTAGGTATTTATAGTTTGGATGTTTTAAGTAGTATGGGCCTGTCAATAATCTTTGAAACGCGAAATAGTGTTTCTCGATATACACTGTCGCTCGAGCGGGAACTCAGCGATAGGTGAATGACATCATTTCACTCGAGAGATGATCAGGCGATGGGCTAGCTACGAGCTTACAGGTTTGATCGCTCGAGTAACAGGTTCGCAGCAAGTTAGCACAAATCCGACAACTTTCCCTTTATTTCATAGAAGACCCTAATGACTTCTAACACATCTAAATAACCTACAATTTGACTCTTTGACTTTTAAACACTTTTTTACAACAATGTATTTGTCTACAGACTGCCAAAAACTACAAAACCTAACAGAAGGA